CCTAGGAGTTCTGGTAGTGTAGTGGTTACGAATTGGGCTGTGAACCACAACGTCAGCAGTTCGAAACTATCAGCTGCTCCGTGAGAGAAAGTTGAGGCTTTCTGCTCCCGTAAAGATTTACAGCCTCAGAAACCCTGTACAGGGTCACTATGAGTCAGAACCGACTCCACGGCACATAACCACCATCACCAAGTGCAACATATCACCTTTGTTTCCACCTTTTCCAGTCACTAGTTGACATTATTGCTCATCAGGCACTCAAGCCAGAAAGTTACAAAGTCATTTGCATCCAAACTCTTCTCCCCTCAATGTGTCTTCTCCCTCATCTTCTCATGTTCACTGTCAACACCAGACTCCAGAGTGCTCTTCACCTACAACATTGCTTAACTGGTTTCATACCTTTGGTGTCAATCCTCTATAATCCAGTCAGTTAAAAAGGTTAACTGCATCTCTCACTTAAAATCTTTCAAAGGCTCCAAGAAGCTTTTAGAACAAAGTTCAATCTCCATGTTACTATCTTCTTCCATACTTGAATACTCTCTTTTAGTCATTCCCAATTATTTGAAGTTCCCCAAACACAACATGGAAGTCCTGGTGTGATGCTGTGGGTTAATGCCCCAGACTGCAAAGCGGTTTGAACTGCAAGGTTGGCAGTTCAAGCTCACCAGCTGCTCTTCGAAAACCCTATACAGGATCACTATGGGTCAGAATGACTCAATGGCACTTAGCAACAACAACAAACACAACATGATTCTTTACTGCTGCTAATCGTCTCCAACTATTCCTTCAAAATTAAGTTAAATGTTACCTGAGAAGCCCGCCTGAAATCCCCTGGTGGTGGTGGTGATGTGCTATGTAGTCAGTTCCAACTCACAGAGACCCTATGTAGTGTTTCCGAGGCTGTACATCTTCACAGGAGCAGAAAGCTTCATCTTTCTCCCATGGAACAGCCCAACTCATAACCACTACACTACCAGAGCTCCTTACCTGAAACCCCCTATGTGATTTTAACACTGCCTCCATCCTACCCTATGCAGGTCTTAGCATAGTACTTAATTCACAAGGCTATAATTGTTTACCTGTCAGTCTCCCTCATGAAGCTCATTGAAGGAACTGTGTCGTATCTAAGTATTAACCTCCAGCACCTACCACAGTAACTAGCGTTAAATAAATACACTTGAGGGCTGGAAAGAATTCATGGAAAAATTGAATTAAAAGATAACGAAATTTGTCAACAAACTTTTTAAAGCTCCCTCACTATTATTAAGAGTGAATAAATATAGTTATGAGGGAGTCCTGATGTGGCATTGTAGGATAAGCACTTGGCCATAAGGTTGGCAGTTCAAAGTCACCAATAGCTCCTAGGTCGTTATGAGCTGAAACTAACTGGATGGCACTTAATAACAATGTGTGATTATTCCATGCTACAAATTCAATATGTACCTAAAATGTAAGGTAAATTCTAGTAATTCAAATTCGTTGAGATTTACTAATTTTAACTAAGCGAATTAGTAGCTTTAAGTAAACCTTTAACTGTTCTCTAAGAAGCCCCCAGTGATGCCACGGTTAAGCACTCAGCTGCAAAAGGAAAAATCAAACCCAACCAGCCTCTCCGAGGGTCCAAGATGTGGCAGTCTGCTTCCATAAATATTATAACCTTGGGAACCCTACTGAAAGTTCCACCTTGTCCCACAGTGTTGCTATGAGTCAGAATCAACTCCCCAACAGCAGGTTTTTGGATTTAGTTCTTTCCTAACACTAGTAGTTCTTAAGGCAAGGCAAACCTATAAAAGCAGGTGCAAAAAGTTTGTGTAAAAACGGAATTAAAATAAAATGGAATTTTTCCATGTACTTTTGGAAGCCATTTCTCCAACAGCCTAAATAACTATGTTGAAAGTTTCTTAAAATGATATCAATACCATTTAAAAATTAAATGTATCTGTACGACATACCACATCTTTAAGTACTTGCGTCACTGTTGCATTTGCATTTCCCCCTTTAATCAGCATGGCATTTTTAATATTTTCAGTGAGTTTGGGTTCTCTCTTCTCAAGGAATCTCTTGGCCCTTTTTGTTTTGGGCTTTCTGTTAAGAAAATCAGAATACAGAACAGTTTAAAACATTTTCCTCATATTTCAAAACTAGGACTATAAACAACATTGTGAAAAATGAGCATTCCAGAACACTTATGCTCATTGCGCTCAGGAGGAGCCTGTACACAAGATGCAGTTGTTCAAACAGAATAACAGATACTGAGTGGTTCAAAATCAGGAAAGGTGTGGGTCAGGGTTGAATCCTTTCACTATACTTATTCAATCTGTAAATTGAGCCAATAATCTGAGAAACCAGATTATATGCAGGAGGAAGACTTGTTAACAACCTGCAATACGCAGATGATATAATTTTGCTTGCTGAAAATGAAGAGAGCTTAAAATACTTATTCATTAAGATGAATGTATGGACTGCCCCTCAACATTAAAAAACTCATCATTGGACCAATAAAGAATATAATGATAAATAAGGAATGGATTGAAATTATCAAAGACTTCATTTTGCTTAGATCCACAACCAACATTCATAGGAAAGCAGTACTCAAGAACTAAAAGAACATATTGCATTAGGCAAAAGGGTTCAAGAGCAAAGATGTCATTTAGATAACTATGGTGTATCTAACTCAAGCCATGGTATTTTCAATCACCTTACATGCATGTGACAGTTGGACCATGGAGGAATTGATGCATTTGAATTATGATACTGGCGAATAATACTGAAAGTACCATGGACTGCCAGAATTACAAACAAATCTGTCTTGGAAGCAGTGAGGAATGCAATAGTTAAAGTGAATAGAGATAAGTACTATTAAATGTTGGTACATGGAAGGGATTGCAATCACTATAATAAAGTATACAATTTGTTGAATGTAAAAGTGGTGATCTGCTCTGTAAAACCTTCACTCAACTCACAATAAAAGGTTTTTTAAAAAAAATCTGTCATGGAAGAAGAGCAGTTAGAAGTCTCCTTAGAAATGAGGATGGCAAGACTTCTCTTGTTCTTTGGACATGTCAGGAGGGATCAGACCCCGGAGAAGGACATCATGCTTGGTAAAGTGGAGGCTCAATGAGAAAGAGAACAACCGCAGAAAGTTGGACTGACACAGTGGCAGCAAGGATGGGCTCAAACACAGCAGTAACTGCAAGGAAGGCACAGAACCAGGCAGTGTTTTATAAATATTAGTCTGATTTTAAGCCGCAGCAGCAGAAGTAGCATGCTTTTACACATTTCTGTTCAGGAAATGCCTGCTTCTTCTACATTAAGGATCTCACTTTTCCAAGTTATTTGCCATCTACTGAAAGAATCCTTCTCTTTAATAACTGTGACCCTTCCTTCCAGTTCAACGAACAGTTCAGAAAGGAAAAGAAAAACAGTCCAACATAATTTAGCTTCCTATGAAGATTTTTAAAAATATCCCAGACACAACTTGCTTATTAACACACCTATTCATTTACTGGGTGAAGTACAAGATTTAGTGCATCTATATGGCAACAGAAGTTCTGATGTGGCGCTGGACTGCTAACTATAAGCTACCTGCAAGGTTTGTAGTTCAAACCTACCAGCCACTCCTTGTTGTTAAGTGCTATCGAGTCAGTTCTGACCCATAGCGACTTGGTATAGGGTTTCTGAGGAGCAGCTGATGAGCTTGAACGGCCAACCTTGCAGGGATTCTTGGGAATCCATATATAGGATGGCTATAAGTCTACCAAGGAGCTCTGGTAGCGTAGTGGTTACAAATCGGGCTGCGAACCACAAGGTCAGCAGTTCGAAACTACCAGCTGCTCTGTGGGAGAAAGATGAGGCTTTCTGCTCCCGTAAAGATTTACAGCCTCGGAAACCCTGTACAGGGTCACTATGGGTCAGAACTGACTCGACAGCACTTAACAACAACAAAAGTCTACCTATTATTGTGTACTTAACAACATATGGCAATAAAGGTTCTATATCATGTTGCTACTTCTCATTAACCAAAGGCAAATAGCACCTTATGTATTTTATTACTAAGCTTTTTATCCCACAATTAGACAGTAAGCTAGTCTTATAGCTGACTCATACACAACAGAATGAAACACTACCAGGTCCTGTGCCATCCTCACAATTGTTAGGTTTGAGCCCACTGCGTTGCTCCACCTCTATAGGGGTCTTCCTCTTTTTTGCTGATGCCATTTTCACCAAGCATGATGTCCTTCTCCATTGACTGGTCCCTCCTGATAACATGTGAGAAATATGTGAGTCTCCCCATCCTTGCTTCTAAGGAGAATCCTGGCTGCCCTTCTTCCCACATGGATTATACATATATACAAAGTCCCTGAATAACTGAAATTAAGAAACTTCATTTTATTACATGTTAACTCAGGTAAATCACAGAAAGAAACCCAATAGCAGGAATATTTAAAATATCAATAAATACTTTTTGGAACGAATCTAAAATGTGTCATTCAAGTATAACTCAGAGAAGTATGTAAGAATGAAAGGAAAAGAAAAAGATAATGAGTTTGTTTTGTCTGTACCAATGGCATTCTCACAACTCATCCTCCAAGTTCTACGAGAGGCCGTTACAACTTTCATATGAGAATGAAATTTTTTAAATGATGGGGGTTTCCACCAATTTTTTGAAGTCCCCTCGTATTAGTATGGGTATTAATTATAATAGCTATTTTACACAGCAAACTGAGTTTTAGGGAAATTAAACGATCCAAAATTACAAGGCTTTAAATGGACGCGTCCTGATTGTCACTTAGATGTGTCAGAATACGAGGTCTGTGCTCTTAACCCCTCGAAAAAATTTACACTTCTTCGAAAGCCAGAATGTTAATTTGCCTTCGTTTCACCTGCATTTGCGGCTCACACAGGTGGACCCGAGCGTCCGCTGTCTCCCGGAGCTGATCGACTGATCTGCCCCCACCCGGACAGGACAGACGAAGGAATTGGGAAAGGCGAGGTAATATCTCTGTTTTCCGCCACAGCAGTCCCTGTCCCCAACATTTCTAGGGCCGGGGGCTCACGATTACTTACATCACTCGGTCCAAAGCGTCCATACTTGCCGCAATCCAAGACTGCTCAACACACGTGCACCGCGCGTATACGCGCTTTACGTGCGCCGGAACTGGAGGAACCGGAAACCGCACGTGACGCCACTTTCTTTGCCCATCCAGCGATTTGTCCCTGGGATCTCTGACGGTTATTTGGGATCAGAGCTTGCTTCGTTGCCTTGGTTACGAATGTTTGCCCATGCTTTTTCCTGCGAATAACAGATACCAAATAACAACTCTTTAGGTAATATCACCTCTGTGTATGCTCGGTTTAGATATTCGGAGATCAGATGTAGTCTTAAATTTTTTAATGTGACCACTGAACTGTACATGTAAATATTATTGAAATGGCAAATGATGTTACTTATATGTTTATTTATTACAATTAAAAAATATTGTGATATGTGAACTACTGACTAAATTGTGAGATCCGTGAAGGCATAATTTTACTACGACAGTGCTTGACACATTAAAAACTGCTAAAAAAAAATACTACTACTGATCGTGATTTTTTTTTCAACTTTTAAATTGAGATACAGTTAATAAGGACTCTTGGTGTGGAGCTGTAGGATCAGGACTGGACTGCACGGTCCGTTTGAACCCCAAGGTTGGCAGTTCAAATGCACCAGCCGCTCCTCGGAAACTCTAAAGAGCTGGTACCAACTCGACGTCACTTAACATGCCAAAAATTTACCCTTTTTAAGTAAACAATTCAGCTTTTTTTAGTGTAGACACAAAGTTGTGCAACGATTATCACTAATTTCAAAAAGAACCCATACACAGCAGTCATTCCTCAATTTTACCTTCCACCAGCCTCAAGCAACCACTAACTAGCCTTTCTGTTTCTATGGATTTGCCTTTTCTGGACATATTATAAAGGAGCACTGATGACACTGGTAAGCTAAGAATTGGGCTATTAACCGAAAGGTCATAGGTTCAAACCCACTCCCATAAGCATTCATTTATAGAAACCCTACATAGCAATTGTACTACATCCAGTAGGGTCACTATGAGTTGGAATCAATGTGATGGCGGTGGGTGGAGACAGATCAAATAAATGGATTCATACAATAGTCTTTTGTATCTGGCACATAGTAATGCTATTAAGGTATAAATGTGTTGTAGAATGTGTATTTAATATTTTTAAGGTGTAATAATATTCCATTGCATGGGTACAACGCATCTTGTTTATCAATTGTTGGACCTCGTGACTGATCTGGATTTGTTCTTTTTGATAATGAATGCAACACCATCCCTCTTCAGTTTGTCATTCCCAGCATAGTAAACCATGTGGTTGTCAGATTCAAAATAGCCAATACCAGTCCATTTCAGCTCACTAATGCCTAAGATATCGATGTTTATGCGTTCCATTTCATTTTTGACAACTTCCAATCTTCCCATATTCATTCTTCGTACATTTCATGTTCCGATGTTCAATGGATGTTTACTGCTGTTTCTCTTCGAGTTGTGCCCCATCAGCAAATGAAGGTCCCACAGGCTTTACTCCATTCGCTGTATCCCAGTGAACTCTACTTTGAGGAGGCAGCTCTTTCCCAGTAGCATTTTGAGTGCCTTCCAACCTGAGGGACTCATTTTCCGGCACTATATTTGACAGTGTTTCTCTACTATTCATAAGGTTTTCAGTGATTAAATATTCGGAAGTAGTTCATCACTCTTTCTTCCTCATCTGTCTTTGTCTGGAAGCTCATCTGAAACCTGTCCACCATGAGTGACCTTGCTGGTATTTAAAATACCAGCGACATAGCTTTCAGAATCACAGCAACTCACAAGCCAGCACAGTACGACAAACTGACAGACGAGTGGTGGCCATTTGGTTTTAAGTGGAAACTGTCACTTTACATTTCAAGGAGATCTGTGTGCATGTGTAGTAGAATCCTCCAGGGGAGGGGGTGGTTGTCCATTTGCTCAGGCATCCCCTCTAATCACCAGAATGGAGGTGCGCAGACAGCAAGACACCAATGAACAGATAGCAAAAAAATATCCATACCTGTATCTCTGCGGTTCTGTCAGGCACTCTTGGCTGTTCTGATCCTTCCCCTGCTTGGTTTCTCCCAAGATGGCAGTTCCAGGCGCAGCTAAGTGTCTTGAATTAGAAAGCAATGGATTTCTTGCTTCTGCTACAAAGTCACCTACATGTAATATTCCTTTATGTGTGGTTCAGAGTTCTAGCACCATCCCCTGACCCTGCTTGGTCTGGTATTTTGTGTTGTTTCTGACGGAGCTCCTTACTGCACGTCTATCCATAATAGGAAGTAACAAATGAAATAATGGAGTATGAGTAGGAAATAAAGTACTGTTGAGAGTGAAAGAAATCTTATTTTGGATGTCAGATAACTAGTACCTCTGATACCTGATATTCTCACTGTTGACACAATTGTGGTTACATTAAATCCAGATAAACTTGTTAGGTGTTTCTATACAAATTTGTAGCTAGAATCTGCTTATTTTTTGAGGAAATAACCGAAGTCATAGAAGAGAGATGATAAATCCGATTTCAGAATCAATGAAGACATTTCTGGAAAAGTATGCAATTCTGACACATTAGGTAGTTTGGTCAAATTCACACAAGCTGTTGGAACAAGAGAAATGAAAAAAGTAGATTCTAAAAATTAAACTGCTGCTGTTTGCATCAATGAGCCCTGGTGTGGCATTGTAGGATAATGCACTGGACCATATGGTCAGTTTGAGCCGCAAGATCAGTAGTTCAAACTCACCAGCCGCCCCTCGGAAACCCTATACAAGGTTGCTGAGTCAGAACTGACTTGATGGCAGTTAGCAACAACAAAGCTGAGTAGGTGGATCATGTTGACTCCATATGACATACACTGGACTGCGAACCACAAGGTCCCTGGTTTGAGCCTGCCAGCCACTTTGAGGGAGAAAGATGAGGCATTCTGCTCCCATAATGTAAAGCCTCAGAATCCCTATACTGTAGTCCCATTATGGCAGTGTCATATGCACTGAATTGGTAACCACAGGTCGGTGGTTCAAACCCACCTATCCAAGGTTGCTGAGTTGGAACCAACTGGATGGCACAACAGCACTTAACAACAATCTGAGTAAAATAAATGCATGATACAAAGCTTCATTACGCTGAGCATCTGCCAAGAAATTTATTATGACCAGTTGAGTAGTGTATAATGAACTGGGCTAATTTTCAAACATTAATGACCATAAAAAGTAAATCTTCATGAAGTAAATCTTTATGATGTACCTTATTATGATCCCTTTCATTAGAATTTGTAAGCAAAAGCAACTTACTACATTCAGTGTAAAAAGTTCGTATTTCCTGGGTTCACTACAGAGGGACTATAGCTCTCAGATTAGTTTTAATTCCTTAAATGAATAAAGGTAGGTAGCTGATGAATGGCAGAGAGATTCATGTATGAAGTTTTAGTCTTACAAAATACTACAAATTTGAAAAATATGACTTTTATTTTACTAAATATCAAACACTGATTCTTATTAACAGGAAGGGAGCTAATACCACATTCTCTTCAGAATTTTAAGACTTTTATTTTCTTGTTCAACATAAAGTATTATAATCTAGATTAGTTTCTTTTTTAAAATTACAAATTTCAAGAATCCCTCATTCTACTTCTTTATCCTTTTCTAGATTTTTCATGTTTCTAAAAATGCGTAACTTATCAGTTGAGATGACATTTGGATATAACAGAGTCGCATCATGGAGAGAGAGGTTTATTTCTCTCCCACGTAAAAGGTGGCCAGGGGTAGGCAGTGACCATGCTCTCTCTGGCTGAGCAGCAGCAGGAGTCACCAGTTTGGAATGACAGTCACACTCTCAGGACACAATACGCTTTGTTGGACGGGATCTGACACCAGGCTCACTGAACACTGTGGGATACAGAGTAAACGCAGCTTGGCAGCCCAGCAGCATCAGGCTTGTTTTCGGCTCAAGAAGCTGCTACTCTGGTCTCCCAACACTCACACCGTGTGTCAGAAGCCGACTCCATGGCAGCTACCAACAGAAGTGCATTGCAATTTGTGACACCTGTAATTGAACACTGATGCACTTAGTTTAGTAAAACATCCAAATGTAAAGGCCTCACTAGAGAACTGTCTCTAATTATTTAAACTGGCGTTTGTTTTGTTTTTTAATTCAATTCATTCTGGCCTTAATAGTACGTAACTGCTATATTAACTTATGCTATATTTGGGAAATGTCAACAGAAATAACAAAATAGATGAACTAGAAGCTACAAAGCCAAATATATGTCTTAAAAACTAAGTAAGTTCATGATTAGATATGAGAGACATTTCATCTTGGTGTAGATTCTAAGGCAGCATCCTGAGTTTCCATAAAAACAAAACCTTCTGTATCAAAAGAAGAGATCTCAATAAGAGGATCAGAGTCCTCTATTTCCAAGTGCAGTGATTTCCCCTGTTCATAACTCAGGTCTGAGTTCTCTTTCATTTGAATCTCTTGCTCCTTCAACTCCAAAGGTTTATCTGAGGCTGGAGCTACAACTTCTTCATCTTCATTATCATGTAGAAAGCTACAAATCATGTTGGGTCTACTGGAGGAATCAGTATCATTGATTTGCAGCCACTCCACGCCACCTAATTCAAGAGGACACACACACACACACACACACCCCAAAAAAAACATGAAAAGGAATTTTAGTTAAGTGTAGTTTTCTTTAAATTTTCATTCTATAAATACATGTCAAAGTAAAACTCCATCATATACAAAGAAGTGTGGTGCTTTAAGCTACTAACAAATTATTTATGCCATTTCCATCTTCCATGGAGACCTTGAGATGCCTAGAGGATGGTGGTGGTGGCTGTGTGCCATGGAGTCGGTTCCGACCCATAGCGAAGCTGTACAGGGTTTCCGAGGCTATAAATCTTTATAGGAACAGAATGCCTCATCTTTCTCCTGAGGAACAGCTGGTAGTTTCGAACTGCTGACCTTAAGGTTCACAGGCCAATTTGTAACCACTACGCTACCAGAGCTGAGGGCAGACTTCATCAAAAAAAATCACTAAAAGTTATCACCTTCAGTTATTATTCCAAGACATTTTTTTAGTTCAATTATCATCTCATTCTAAGAAATAATTTGAGCTCTCACTGCTATCTCACTGAGAAAACTTTGTCACATCCCTGTAACATTTTCCTTACCTACTCAAAGGAGCTCTGGTAGCATAGTGGTTACGAACTGGCAGCCGCAAGGTCAGCAGTTTGAAACTACCAGCTGTTCTGTGGGAGAAAGATGAGGCTTTCTGCTCCTGTAAAGATTTACAGCCTCGGAAACCTGTATAGGGTTGCTATGAGTCGGAACTGACTCCACAGCACATAACAACAACAATAACTCAATTTTCATAATAAGATGGTTCATACTACTCTAGTTTTCCAATTCAGGACCCTCATGTCATTTTGAGTTAGAATATCTACTTACGAAATCATCTACTTCTCAAAAAAAACACTTGAAAAAATTTTTGTTCCTGTAATCACTGTCAGTCTTAACCTTTCAATGAGCCTCCCAGAATTGCTCTAAGAATGTTACTCAAATTTCATCTTTATTACTCTATTAGTCAAACATTTGTAATGGATTCTCCCTGACTTTTATAGCAAGCTCAGGCTGTTTACTCTCATCTTCAACACTCCACTAGACAGCTCTAAGATACTCCTATTTTGCCACCCTGCTCACTCCTCTATTTGTTCCTACTCCCTACCATAAGCTAATTTCTCTTAAGCTATTTACTGAAATTTCTTCACAGCATAGTCTTTTATGTGCTATTCCTATAATCTCCCTCTATGACCTTTTTCTCTCCAAGTTACCTTCAACTGTTGACTTCCATATTTTTTTCTTACAGTAACACTGTTTTGTCACTTCGGTTCAAAATCTTAAAGCCATACTTAATGGCACATAATGAATACTTAAGAATGAAATGGGTGGAGTCACATTCACCCATGTCTGTTTCAATATGATTTTTCCTAGAACAAGAGCCTCATCTTTTGTCTTTGTCTTTATTTTGTTATGTATCAAGCATAGTGTCACATTTGCTGGCCACCCTCCAAGATGGTCCCCAGGGATACTCCTGGTATTTATTATGTCCTGTGTGTCCCCAAGGAACCCTGGTGACAGTCTGCTAAAGTGCTCAGCTGCTAACCTAAATATCCAGTTTGAATCCACCAAATGCTCAGTAAGAGAAAGATATGACAATCTTCCAGAAAAAGTTACAGCCTTAGAACTATATGGGTCATTTCTATTCTGTCCTGTAGAGTCACAGTGAGTTGGAAGTGACTCCATTGCATCGGGTGGTTTCGCTTTTTATGGGAATTTGTGTGTGTGTGTGTGTGTGTGTGTGTGTGAGAGAGAGAGAGAGAGAGAGACAGAGAGACAGAGAGAAAGTAGTTCCTTCCCATACTAGAGAGGATAACACAGTGTGACTTCCACAGCTAGTTCCTAAGACACTACATTCACAGATCACTAGTTCTGGGAGCAGCTAGCTACTATGCTCAAGCAGTCCTGTGGGGGAGGTTCATGTGGAGAGAAAAAAATTCTTGTGCTAGCAGCTAGCACAAGCTTGCCAGCCACGTTACATTCCAAACTTCCAATCTTAGCCTTCAGATGACCGAAGCCCCAGCTAACATTGACTGTAAACTCTACAGATTCTGAGCCAAAACCATCCAGCTAAATTGCTTCCAAATTCCAGACTCATAGAAAATATGTAAGGTAAGAGTTTTTGTTGTTTTAAGCCTTTAAGTTTAGGGGCTATTGGTTATTCAATAATAGATTACTAGTATAACCTTGAATAGTTAGTTACTAACTTAGTTCATTCTAGAATTTCAAGTATTCCCTTCTTCCTATTATTTTTTCAGGGTACCAAAATAGGTGGTAGTTTTGGGATATAAAAAAGCAAAAGTTTGCTCATTGTGTGTTGTTGGTGTAACTAAGTTCTGTATGATTAATGTACCTTTAAATGTCTATTCTTTGCTTAAAATACAACTATCAAGTCATGAACAACACTTATCACTATAGTCCTATTTACCAGAGCTTCAAGTGTCATCGAGCAGTAAGCTTTCAAGCCATCAAATCATTATTTATTAAGCTCTGTAAACATGTGCCTGCCATGGGTGCAAGAAGCATTGGTGTAAAATTGTTCTCTAGTCTCTAGTCTGTGATATCCAGCAACTGCAGAAAACTAAGTAAGATGCTAATTGAGAACTAAACTTAGGACTAGCAACTGTGACCCTAGAGTATTCCCGACATAGAAAGCTAGCTTCTTCCAATGGTAAGATTTTTAAAGAAGATTGCAGCACCTGCCAAAAGTTCCTAGAGGATTCCCTGGGATTATACCTTGGAAATTCAGTACGGTTGTTGCATTATTTTCTCCACTTATAAGGAAGCTTTTCTAAAAAATACTGCTAAGTTCCCTGAGGGTTGGAAATCAGAGTATGCTTTTTAGCAAATTCCTTAGAGCTGTTTCTAATGCAAACATCAGGAATCCTGGTACAGCACTGTACGGTAAGGACTGGTCTGCTAACCACAAAGTTGGAAGTTCAAATGCACTAGCTGCTTCTTAGAAACCATGTACAGGGTCACTATGAGTTGGAACCAACTTGACATCATTTAACAACAACAATGCAAACACTTTAGAAATTTCCAACATGTCCCCAATGCCCTTTAAATCTATGCTTGATATTTTTTAGAGTACCCTCAATTTTAATACAGTAAACATATTACATATAATTAATACCATTAATAACAAGGAGTGTTGGCCAGCTGGTCAGAAGTGGGGAGGTATGCGTGAACTCCCAAACTTGCAGCAATTCTTGGATAGCTAGCTCACCAGAACTCAACCAGATGAAGATAAAGATGTTTGATACTGTAGTTGTTGTTGTTAAGTGCCATGGAGTAGGTTCCAACTCATGGCGACCCTGTATAGGGTTTCCAAGAAACAGCTGGTGAGCTTGAACCGCCGACCTTGCAGTTCAAATGGCTTTGCAGTCTGGCGCATTAACCCACAGCGCCACACCAGGACTCCCTTGATACTGTAAAGCGCCACATTATAGCCCTCCATTTTGATAGCCAGTGTCTAGATTGCCCATCCCTATCAACCCAGTGCACTGAGGAAACAAGCTTGTTCCTTGATATGAAGAATCCTTCCATTCCAGTTGGAATTTTGAGCAACTGCATCCCTAAAAAACATCCAGTTCATCGAATTGTTGGTTCCAACTCATAGCAACCCTACGTAGGGTTTCCAAGCAGCAGCTGCTTAATTTGAACCACTGACCTTGTGGTTATACTTGCTTACAGTTATCAAGCAAGTGTGAATTGCTACAATGGGTTGACAGGGATGGGCAATCTAGACACTGGCTATCAAAATGGAGGGCTATAATGTGGTGCTGTGGGATATAGCACTGGACCGCAAGGTCAGTTTGAACCACAAGGTCGGTGGTTCAAATTCAGCAGCTGCTGCTTGGAAACGCTACATAGGGTTGCTATGAGTCGGAACCCACTCCACAGCACTTAAAAACAACATAAAACAAACAAACAAACAAACAAAACCCATAAAGGCACGAAGTGGCTGGCCTACAAGCTTTCACGAGTGTGCTTAGCTTCAGAACAAGGCGGGTAAGGTGGCATCCCCACTGAATAGTTTTCCTCTTCACCAGACTGATCTGGTTAAAGAGGATGGGAGGTGATGCTGATAGGATTTTTTGATTCAATTGTGAGTAACCGTTGCAGGATTAATTACAATTGTCACAACTAGAAGATATATAACTAAAAGAGGGGAACAGTTATTCTTCCACTTCAGGAACAGAGGATTCCAGGACCATTAAAAAGGAAGAGCATGAGTGGAGCATGAGATCCTACCTAGAAAAGTGGCAAAAGCAGAGAAGGTGGCAGAGGTGATGGCATAGACAGAGCAGCTGTGGGCTGTGTGCCTACGGGAAGGAAGCTGGCTTGCAGAATATACCCTTAGGATATTTAAATGAATACATATTTTTTGTTTTGTATGTGTACATCAAATACTTTTGCTTTGTTCATTTGTAATATAAGATGTAAAAGAGAAGCCACAGGGAGGAAGTACGAAATCTGTTGTTGCAGGGAAGGGATTGTAATCATTAAGGTGAAACAAAGTGTATAATTTGCTGGTAAAAATAAAATAAAGAAGAACAGGGAGTGTCTTGATAGCAAGGTGTCACTTTCAAACCCCATGCTCAATCACCTATTTTTAGAGAATTAAATGAACTAACCTATGGTTTCTTCTCCTTCTTTCTTTTCTGTCAGAAGAGTTCTTGTCATGCTGAGTTTCTTCATTGTATGACATTTGTATTTTAGCACTGTTTTATTGTTGCCTTCTGCATCCACTAGAACATAAAATGAACTCAATTATTATACTCATTTGATGTCACCAAATAAAAGAATCATGTTAGGAAGTTGGACTAAACTATTTCCTTTCAAGATACTGTAATTTAAGGTTTAATTCATCCCTTCTGCGCTAAGCACAGAAAAATGACAGAAAAGATGCACAACAATTGAAGGTACAACCAGACTCAAAAACAACAAGACTACGAATGAGATTAAAGGCATGGGGGCCTACTAGGCTGCATACAGTCTTGAAAAAGTACTCTGACCCTTCAGAGTAACGAGATCTAAACTTTTTTATCACTCAAAATGAAGAACCAGAGCCAAAATCACTATTTGAAACCAGACTGGGGTGAGAACATCCCTGCTCATGAAAGGAAGCTGCAAAATAAAACACTACTGCTTCGAAGTAAGCTTTACAGAAAACCAGGGAGAAGGAGGCCCTGAACCAAGGATGCGAAGCACTGAAAACTTCTATACACTGCTGTGAGTGTAATCTGAGGCTACATTTAAAAAGCAACCTGTTGGCATCTATTAGAATAACCACATGAAATTATCATTGTCCAATTAAAATGGTCATTTCAAATGGCTCAACTGAATTGTAGGGCTGCAGACAAATTCATTAGTCTAGCAATTCCACTTCTGAGTTTATGCCTTACAGACCTTTTTACATATGCACTAGGGTACACATTCAAGATTCATAATGGTATTATTATTCCTTTTTTTTCATCTTAGTGGAAACACACACCAAAACAACCACCAACACAACAACTTCCACCTTTACAACTCAGTGACATTCATTAGATTTTGTCATGTCGTACCACTGTTACCACTACCCTTATCCATACTTAACACTTCTCAATCTAAAAGAACTGAAGAAAAAATTTAAGGCTCAAGTTGAAATACTGAAGGACTCTATGAACAAAATTCTTCTACGGTCTTCCTTATTCATGCTTTTGAGTTACGGTGTTGGAGGAGAATATTGAAATTGCCATGGGCTGCCAAAAGAACCAACAGATCTGTGTTGGAAGAAGTGCAGCCAGAGTGCTCCTTGGAGACCAGGATGGCCAAACGTCATCTCTCATGTCAGGAGGGATACAGACATACTGGAGAAGGATATCATGTTTAGTGGGGTGGAGGGTCAGAGAAAAAGGGGAAGACTCCCCAGCGAGATGAATTGGCAAAGTGACAGCATCAATGGGCTCAAGTGAGCCAACAATTGTGATGTTGGCCCAGGATCGGGCAGTGTTCTGTTCTGTTGTGCCATAGGGTCGCTATGAGTCAGTACCGACTCGATGGCACGTAACAACAACAATGGACAAAATACTGAATAATGTTGTCTATAAGTGCTGTAGGGTCGGTTCCAACTACTAGCAACCCCTATATAGGGTTTCCAAGGCTATAAATTTTTATAGGAGCAGAATGCTTCATCTTTCTCTAGCAGAGTGGCTGGTGGGCTCAAACCACTGACTTTGTGGTTCACAGTCCAGTGTTTATCCTCTAGAGCCACCGTAGAACTTCCAGAGCAAGATGGCAGAGTAGGCTGATTACTGAGCAGGCCCTTAACAACAAAGATGTGGAGACAGAGTGAAACAGTTATAGATTATGATCTTGGAACCCTGAGATTCAGAGAACAGGACAGAGAAGTAGGTTGACTGCTGACTGGAATCGGAAGTGGAATAGAAACAGAGAGCAAAGAAAAACGGGTGAAGCGGAGATTGGCCTGGAGTGGCATGGCTATCTAGAGCTTTTGCAAGTGGCTGTTGACAAGGCCTGCAGGCACAGGAAGCGACTGAAGGTTGTCAGTAAGATGGTGTACTTCTCCCTTGTTTCCTGCCCTCATGGTGGCTGCAGGCATAACTAGTCCCCATCCTCGCCAACCCAGAAGCCAAGATCACCCTCTCCCGTGCAGCCTTTGCTCTGCCTCAGGTCAGGTGCCAGGCATAGCAGCCCTGCTTATGGAGACACTAGAACCTGCTCTGAACTACCCAACACCAACAGTGAGCAGAAAATCACGTTCTTACTTCCCGCCTGTACCATGTCCACCAGAAGACAGGTGGAGAGTGCCTAAGAACACAACAATATGATCATCAATTAAATTTCAATACGATACCACACATCTCTTAGAAAAAAATAACTTCAGCTTATACAAAGAAAAAATACAGTGCCTCAAACCAAAATACAGAGACAGAAAATACAATAACAGAAATGATTATTGGACTATCTAACAAGGAATTCAAAAGAATGCTATTTAGGCACCCTTCAATGTATTGAGACAATCAAGAAAACTGCAGATGAAATCAAGGGATACAGATAAAACTATTGACGAATTCAGGAAACAACTGATAAAATAAATGAAAAAATGGAAACCATGCAAAACAGCAATTAAAAGCCAGAAGAGTAACACTAAGATTTCACAAATAAACAATACACTGAAAAGGCAAAGAAACAGAACTGAATTAATAGAAGGCCGAATTACTGCACTTGATGAAAAAAAATCTCTCAATATTCATCTGCTAGAAAAACAATCAGAAAAAAGAACAATAACAAAAAAAAAAAAAAAAAAAATCAAAGAAAGTCCAAGATCTATGTGGGAAAATATCAATAATAATTGATAAGTGACTAAAAATCTAGACCAGGAAAAGGCCAAACCCATAGATAAAATTGTCATGAACGACGAGAAAAATAGCCATTCAAGAAATTGAACAAATGCCAAACAGGATAAACCCCAAAAGAAAAACACTGAGACATACTACAAATCAAATTTTTCAAAACCAAAGACTAAGAATAAAAATCACAAGAACAGTTCAGAAAATTTTTTTAAAGTTAACCTAAAGGAGCTCTAAGGAGCTCTGGTAGCATAGCGTTATGAGTCATTTCTCAATAGAAAACTAATTTAGTCTCATTAATTCTCCTTTAGTGGTGGTGGTGTGTCATGGAGTCAGTTCTGATTCACAGTGACCCTGCAAAGGGCTTCCGAGGCTATAAATCTTTATGGGAACAGAAAGCCTCATCTTTTTCTCGAGGAACAGCTTGTAGTTTTGAACTGCTGACCCTGAGGTTAGCAGCCTGACTTGTAACCACTATGTAGTGTGGCTTGGAGTCGGAACCGACTCCAAGGCACATAACTACCAATATATCTGGAATATTTTAGATGTATAATCTGAATCAAGACTGGTAAAATGTTAGGATTTGTTACAGCAACATGATAGTTGTTTGGGATGTTTAACTATGTCTGAAATGCTGTTGTTGTTAAGTGCCGTGGAGTCAGTTCCGACCTATAGTGACCCTGTATAGGGTCTCCAAGAAGCAGCTTGTGAACTTGAACCACGGACCCTGCAGTTCAAACCGACTTTGCAGTCCAGTGGATCTGAAATACTTCCTAGTAAAAAAATTGAGTTAGTATAGCAACCACTTACCATGCTCCTCTACATCTTCTTCAAATATAACACAGGTCCCAAGAGTGTCTGAAGAAAAATGAGAAGGCAATTTGTTCAGAAACAAACCAGAGCTACCTTTTATAACTGAATTTAAACATTTAAACACACAAGATAGCATCTCATCTATTTGATAACAGCCTACCTTCATATTCCCCAGCAAAGACATAGTTGTCCACTTGCATAATAGGCCTCTCAGTGTCAATGCCCTACAATATAGAAACATAAACTCATCTTCAGAAAGATCCATGGACATAACACCATCTCATAGCAAAGAGACTGTTTCTAATACTGCGGAACCTCTAGGCTTCTTATACCCACATGATAAACTAAAAGTGCCCTGACCACAGCAGCTACTGAAGACCACTTCATTCATACTCAAGTAGCAAAGTCTATTTCAATCAACATCCACTTCAAGTTACAGGTAATAAAGGAAGTTTGGTGAAAGTTGTCAACAATAGCCCAAAGATTTTAAAGTGATAAACTGGCAACTCACATAGGATAGTAAGGAAACGGAATGAGAAAGGCCTTTGAAGTCTTAGGTATGGATACTTCCCTCCCTTTTCCATGTACATACCTGATTCTCCTCTCTTCACTGTGTGTGTCTTTCCCACTAATTTTCTAAAACGGTATTATTATTTTTTTAAATAAGCCACATTATTACTTATCACAATGTACTAAAACGGTACCTCCTCTGATCTTTTCTCTCCAGGTACACATTCATTCACTCAAGCAGAATTAGGCATTCTCCTATCTGTTCCCAAAGCCCTTCTGCACTTCTATGATACACAGTGCTTTGTAATGTGCAATCAGCTTTGAGGAATAGGTATTCCGTTACGAGTTCTTCTTCATTAAACGGAAGAAAATCTACAATTCCATTCTGGAAGACTCACCAAAATCTTGCAGTTATTTTCACATTTTGAGAGAAAGTCTGAATCAATAATTCCTGACAATTCCACAAGTACCAACTGCTCCTGGTGGAAGAAAGAGGAGTTAGCATACACGAGTGTTCGGGAAGAGGTAACAGAGAAGCCCCAAATCCCACTTGCAATGTTCGAACCGTTGTGAAAACGACGTCTTGCTTTCAAGGAGAGTAACCAGCGCCATTTCTCAAAGTAATTTTCCTGGAGCCCCTGTATTCTAACTACGGTTTGGTCCTGAGGGTTGAGGCCCGACCCTCTCAGGCTCCGAGCGCCCAGGGGCTTCCCTTCAGCCAGCAGCCTCCGGATTCCCTGCCCCAAACACAGCCCACAAAGTCATCACAACAAACGCCGCTCAAGGTTTTGTGGTACACTCACTTCTTCCTCTTCCCACTCTTCGCGCCTCCGATCCTCGGTCGCCGCCATGATCCCACCGCTTCTGTGCCTCCCACTCTAATCCCGCCCTCTCACTGCCTCCATCTTGAGTACTGGCAACAGCTCTTTCTCTTCCCGCCCACAATCCTGCCAGAACGTGTCATGACCAAGTCTCGCGATAAGGTGGTTCCCGGCACAGAGAGTCCTGGCCCTGCCCACTTTGGAGACTTGCTCTGGGATGCTAGGGCCGGAACTTGTGTATTTTTGTTTGTGTGCACTAGAGGGACTAACCTGGTGACCTCAGGCCCTTCTGACCTTCTCTTACTGCCCCAGGATAAAGGATAATCAAGCTCCCCATTAGCCCAAAGTTGATCCTTATGAGACTCAGCTTAGCTATGCCTCCACCCTTCAACCTGAACACCAACCATCCTTCCCACTACACTCTATTTCTCAGGTGGCTTAGATAATTCATTGCACTAGACACACATAATTATGGAGCTTAATAATGAAGCTAACATGCTACAAGTCAGCACCAGAAATGTTCAAGATCATTCTTTGGGGAGGACAGCTTCTCTGCTATTCCCCCAGTCATGTTTCTCTTAGGCCCTTGGCTTGACCTCATCCTTGCTCAGGCAGTATTACAAAGCTCTTCTGGGTTTGCTGATAAATATTCAGAGGGCACTCTACTGCTGTATGCCTCAATTTGAAGACTTGACTCTAGCTCCGTGCCAAGTTGGTGAACTAGCTCTTATCCATTAAGTGTCTGGAAATACCCCATACCACAAGCCAACTTCCTGCCTGAAGGCACTCAACTTTCTCTGTGTGTGGGGTAGCCCCCCACCCTTCTGTCTTGAGCTCTGGCTCTTGGGTCTGCAGTTGCTGCTTTTTTGCTATTCCTGTGGTGTCACAACTTTCTATCCCAGGTTATCCTGCTGAGTGAGGTTTGCAGTGTTCTTAGTGGAATTGGACAGTCTAAAGAAGAAACACGGAGCCAAAAGAAGCTAAGACATGAACATGCAGTGCAGTGTTCAGCCTCGATCCAGAGAGAGATTCTCGCCTCTCTTTACACTTGTTAGATGCCATCAAGTCGGTAGTGACCTTGTGCACAGCAGAACGAAACACTGCCCGATCCTGGGCCAGCCTCACTATTGTTGCCACTTGGCCAATTCATCTCGCTGGGTGTCTTCCTCTTTTTCTCTGACCCTCTATCTTACCAAACATGATATCCTTCTCCAGCGACTGGCCCCTCCTGACAATATGTTCAAAGTATGAGAAACAAAGTTTGGCCATCCTGGCCTCCAAGGAACACTCTGATAGTTGCTCTTCTTCCAAAACGGATTGATTAGTTCTTTTGGCAGCCCATGGTACTTTCAATATTCTCCTCCAACACCATAACTCAAAACCATCAATTCTTCTACGGTCTTCTTTAGTCACTGTCCAGCTTTCACATGCATATGAGGTTATTGAAAATACCATGGCTTGGGTCAGGCGTACCTTAGTCTTCAAGCTGACATCTTTGCTCTTCAACACTTTAAAAAGGTCTTTACACTGGCTTACACAAAAAAGGCATGCTGCCAGCATTACATTACCAGTTACATAAGCATTATGAGTTATGATTACATAAGCTGTCATGGTACCAAACAGGACCACTGACTCATTAGGGTGGCCCGTCTGGCGGAAACAGGCTAGGAAGGCTGACCAACTCCATTGTCCCCACACTCCATCCCTTTCAGGGTTTCTCACCTCACAATCTACAAGACAGGAATCTTCTGTGAGTGAGCCTATGTGAGGAGTGAGGAGCACTGTATCCACAAACCACAACAACAATATAAACTACAGCAACATATTAGGAAGAAGCCTGCAATCCCTATTATTATTGCCAAGGCTGTGCACCAGCCACTAGTCAAGGATGCCCACCATTCCTGTAGGGATTACCTGTTAATTGTTCAATGGCTTGGCTTTCCTTCTGCAAGGCCCTCAAGTCCTGACTCACACTGTGATGTTCATCTGTAATGTACACACAGCATGCTGATCCAATCAGGGCACAAATACTTCCTTGTGATGTGGTTAGACTATCTAAGGCCATGTAATTCTGCAATTCCACTTTCCTCATCTGATACACTTCATTATTGATCATGGTAACCTGAACGGGAAAAATTACATGTTGAAGCTCTGGAATGAGAGATGTGTAGCAAGCCCTATCAGAAACATTATGCATGAGATTGGATTATAGCAGGACTGTGGAGAGCCATCTTTGCTTGAGGTGCTGCCATCTTTGATTAGGACACAGACATTTTTTTTTAGTGTGAATTATGTGATAGTTTACATGGGAGAACATTAGTTTTGCATTCATCCTATCATATATTGTTTCATTGCCATGGTTACAGTCCCCTCCATGCATCATCACCCAAACAAAGGGTATACACTACAAGCTTCACCCACTCCCCCCCCCCTCCGCCCCGGTCGTCAGCACACAGCCCCTCTCTCTCTCTGTGTCTAAAGTCCCCAGCTGTTCCATCTCTCCACGTCATCGTCTCTGCCTCCATCTCAGGCATCACTGCTTCTCTGGGTAGGGACACAGGCATTTTTGAAGTCCTACTTTAATATTTTGCAATTTTGCCTTCACTTTGAAATGATTGAACTAACCTATGCTGCTATTGTTAAGTGTTATCGAGTCAGTTCTGACTCATTGTGACCCTGTGTAAGGTTTCCAAGGAGCAGCTGGTGGGGTTGAACCACTGACCTTGTGGTTAGAAATCCAGTGCTTAGCTAACACCACCATACTGGGATTCCAACCCACAATCACAACAAATTCATGATCACAATCACCTACACTTACTGCATGTACAGCTTTTAATCACTGAAAAGGCTTCCAGCTTTTTCATGCACTAAAGTAATGGCCTGGTATGGCACTGAAGGATAAGCACTGAATTGATGGTTCAAACCTACCAACCATTCCTTGGTAACCCTATACAGGGTCACTTTGAGTTGGAACTGACTCAGCAGCACTTAACAACAACTACAAAAACAAGAGCCGTATGCAACTGTTTCAACTGACTTACAAGTTCATAAAGACACAGTTAGGAATATATCTCCGTTGTAACCCTGGGACTACCTGTTCCAGTCCTT